GGGGGGGGGGGGGGGGTTGTGTGTGTGCCTCCTCAAGTAAAAATGGGGGAAACGGATGAGTCTTTTAGGGAAGAAAAGGTGGGCGGGTCGCTAATTGGGGGTGGCTGGGCGTGCGCGAAGTGGCGGTGGCGTCGAGGAGGGCGCCGGATAGGGGACATATCTGACCCCTGAAGGGGATGAACGACGGGAGATCATTGCCACGGGGGGTTGCCAGGGCCACGCAAGAGCAGGGTAGGGAAACGAGGGGCTGCCCGGATACGGGGACGGGGTGCCGCCCCTGCTCTGTGCTACACCCCCGTATAGCAACGCCGTCGACGTAGGTAACCATAAGGGATGGGAGCCAGCCTCGTGCTGTTGTTGCTGCTGTTGCTGTTGCTGGACACCCAGTGCTGCCGCTGCCGCCGGTGATGATATCGCTAGATGCTCGTACAGTCGTACCGGCGGTACTCCGCATCGTACCAGCTGCTGCTCCATCAGTTCCATCGGATCCCTGAAACAAAATTGAACCAAAAATCCATATTACGCTACCAGATCCATCCAAGGTACCTAAAACGACGCTTACAATCTCCCACCGCGAAAGGCAAGTTCTCGATTTTCATACTCGATCAAACAATCCTCCAATCGCATTTCCTCTCGTCCGTCTTTTTTTTTTTTTACAGATCCAAAAATGTCTCTTCAACCTTACCAAACGTACGACGGCGGTAACAGCAGCGTCAGGAAAAGGGGGGGCACCCAGAGGACCCAGGGGAAGCAAGGAACAATGGGTCCGGTGTGGAGTTCGCGCGTCTCGGTTACCGGCAGTCTCTAGCTTAACGCGTAATACGATACGAAGTGCGAGAGCGTGAGCGTGTACGCGGCTTGCCGTATGCGCAGCGCCTACCGCCATGCGTGCACGTAGATCAGCCGTGGAAGCCGGACTGCTCGGAAGGAAGAGGGAAAGGGATTAGGGCCCGAGGCTAATCGCCGTTCGTACTGGACGTGCCGGACCACACACCGACGCGTCTACGGCCATTCTTCTTCTCGTTCTCGTAAAATATCGCTGTCGAGCGACCGGACGCTCTATTAGCGATATTGGCAGGAGAAGAGGGGAAACGAAGGGGCGAGTCAGGAGAAAAGTGGGAGGGAGAGTGAGGAGTTGGAAGGAAAAAGAAAAGATGGCGTCGATTTCCAAACTGGATGAAAAGGACCAGGAGATAAAGGGGTGGAGATATGTGGAAGGGGTGGGGTATCGACGGCGTCGTTTCAACTGGGTCCGAAAAAATTGGAGGTGTTACATCGTCGATTGGGGGTCAGATCGATTAGCTCTAGGGTCAGATTGATCCGAGGGATTACGGGATTACCGAGATATATAGTTTCTCACGCGATCTTAACCCGCGCTATCGTCTCACGTATTCTCGTTCTTCCTCTTCTCTGCGTTTGCCGTCCAAGTATTTTATATTCTACGACCTCGCTCGGAGTATTGCGACCCGGAGATATAATTACCCCGAGGAAGGTGCGTACGAGGAACGTTGCGTCTTCGGGTACACTGGCCAACCTGCCACCAAATTCGATGACAACTTCCCCCCTCGAAGATTTTCAAGAATGCCCGAAGGGCAACACCCATTTCGTAATACCACGGAATTCCACCGAGTGGTAGCCTGTTATTCCGCCGGCTGACACGGGGCATTAGGTAAATGGTAGATAATAATAGGTTACACCCGCTGATGGGTGAAGGTAGTCTATCGAAAGGTTGAGGGGCTCCGCACGCATCTTTGGTACCGTGAGCGAACCAATGGATATATATTAAAGAAAAAAATACATAAAGAAAAGAGACCCTAAGAGCAAGTCCGCGGGTGGGTGCTGACCGCGAACATATATATGTATGCACGTACCTCACCGAGTGGTCCCGTTAAGCAAGTACATACGTACGTCTGTACTGTACAGGGCAAGTCGACCGGGGGGAACAAGATAAAAGCGAAGACGCAAAAAAAAAGTGGATACGAGTGACCGATGCTGAGAGAGCGAGAAATATAGGAAGAACGTGAGGCTCAAAGAGACAAATAAAGTAGGAGAATGAGCAAGCGAGTGAAAGACAGTAGAAACGAGTGAAGGGGGATGTAGAAGACAGAGGGAAGGGGGATGCCAAGCGGTCGAGTAACAGCGAAGAAATTAATAGCCATAAAATATGAATAGAAATTAGCAGGTTCGGGGTGGCGTGACGCGTTTGCTCGCTCATTTCCTTTCGGCGCGTTGAAAAACAACAAAACAACGAAACACGCCCGAGTCTGTAATTTAGCCGGGTTTGCCGCCGAGAAGCCGGTGGTGCGAGCCAGAAGAGCTGTTGCATGGGCCGGCCCATCATCGTCGTCGCACGGTAGGTATGGTAGGTAATGATCCGGTAATGACCCTGACGCCTTCGCTCCGATGCCTAGAGGAGGATGGATGGAGGGAGGTTATGGCGCGAGGATCGAAGCTTCCCTCGTGAAAAGCCCAAGTAAAGCTCGAGCCCCATATATCGACAGGCACAAAGCCAAAGACGTCTGTCGTGGCATCACGTGGTAGGTGCTGGGACTGGAACCCGGGTGTATCCTGGTATAGCCGTAACCTAACCTAACCCTATATATCCCCGTTACACACCTATCCATAGAGACTGAAGGTAGGTAGAGAGAAGCCGGCGGGCGGCTTTTGTTTTTGCGTTTTAAACGGCAGTTATTAGCCGCCTTGCTGCCGACCCCGCTCTCTCTCTCTCTCTCTCTCTCTCTCTCTCTCTCTCTCTCTCTCTCTCTCTCTCTCTCTCTCGCTCTCGCTCTCCTTTCCTCAATACGCCTCGTCCTTCTCTCTCGCCGCGCTCACTCTCTGGTAATGTGGCTCGCTAATGGGCCAGCGCAGGACGATGGACTGCCCTGGAACAAGT